TGCAGTTCGGAGATTGCTCGGGCCACCTCCTGGGTGACCCTCCTCTCCCAGGTTTGTCGTCGAGATTCGTCATCGAGTGAGGACGCGTCCTTCACCTCGTCGTAAAGCTTTCGTGAGATGTCACGGTTGATTGTCGCATATTGTTCTACCGTCAACTTCTGGGCCCGCCAGTGCGGCCTCAGGGCGTTGCGGACAATGTCATTGACGCTCTTCTTCTCCTCCGTCGTCATTGTGTGTCTCATCGAGCTCTCATCGCCACCGCGCGTCGGACTGGACTCGGGCGACATCTCGTGGGCGCGCCGAGGCCGAGGCTGGCGAAGCTCAAGGGGTCGACTCTCGAGTCTGTTCTCGGGTCGGCCGCCGTTGCGAGGCTCCGGCTTGGCGGGAGGCGCTTCGGAGTCGCTGTGGTCGCTGCTGCTAAACCGGGTGGGGGAGTAATTAGCGGGCGGGTATACCGGTTCGATGTGCGTGCTGAGAGACAAGGTTGGTGATGATGGGCGTCCGTTAAGATTGGGCAATGGAGGTGGTGTTAATGAAAGAGCCCGGGGGCTGCTGAATGCGGAGGGTGATGGGGAGAGGGCTGGCGATGATGCCTCGTGGAAAGGGCGCCAACCAGAGGCCACGCCGGATGCCTCATCTTCGGAGTGAATATTGGGCTCCAGCTCTTTGAGCAAAGAAGACACGACCAGGGTCGGCTCACTATCATCTCCTCGGCTGGCGCTGCTGACATTGTTGCTTCTCGAAGAAGTTCCGTTGGGCAGTCTTGCCGAAGACGGACCGGCGGCTGTTGGGAGTGCAGTCGCTGCAGAGCCTTCGCCGTGCGTTGGCAGCCGTCGGGTTCGAGGACGCTTGAGCTTCCGCTCGGGTTCTTGAGCGGGTTGCTCAGTAGGCGAGGCTGTCACAGACCGAGCCTTTCTCTTGCGATTGCGGGGACTGGAGGCCTCGGCCTCTCGAGCTCGGTCCAAAGCTCCCCAGGCACGCCTCTCATCGCGCGTCTCCTCGACGGGTGGTGGCGCGGGGTGAAGGCGTTCGCTAATCTGCGGCGGTATGTTGCTTGCAAAGGTATCTTGCACTCCGAGCCGCTGTGCAATGCTGATTCGCTGTTGCCACCGCTGCAGCTCCCGTCGATCCAGCTGCTGGAACCTGCGGAACCGCTCGAGGTCTTCGTCTTCGTCGTCATGATTATCGAGGTCGAGCTCGCTCATCTCGTAGAAGCGACCAGAGAACTG